GCTATGTGCTGAGTTTGTCCTGAAGACATGTATTTGGCTTTTAAAGAATTTGAAGAATTGGTTTGATTTTATATGAAAATCTTGATTTCTGACTTTTCTAGAAGATTTTAAGATTTGGCCATATTGGACCCACACTACAGTGTGGCAACAATTGGCTGGAGCCTTAGGATGCTCTAGTCCCCACCCACTTGGCTTTTTTGTTAACTTTAACTATCAGGCCTCCATAGGCATTTGAGTTTGCTACCCTTGTTGTAGAGCTTACCTTAAATTTTATCTGGAACTTTGCTAACAGTAACTTGAAAGGACTGGATTTTGAGGTGCCACCTCCTTAAGTTTCCTATAATCAAATTCAGTTGGGCAAAGTAAGTAAAAATTGAAGACTACTGTATTAGACCTTATTAGATGCTACCCACATTATTTGGATTATAAGATACTGAAGACTTCTGTAAAAGGCAGATTTATCAGAAATGAGCGGTGCCTGAGGGAATGTGACTCAGGACAAGTCTCTTCCATTAGGAAGAGTGGGAGGGGTCCTGAACATGGGCCTCTTAGAAGGTTGCTGAATTTGAGGACTCCGGGATCCCAGAGACATGGGTATCACATTAAAAAAAAGCCACTTCTGCATGGTGCTTCCTTCTTCTTTGGGCATAACTTTATATAAAACAAGAGGGAGGAGCAGTTTTTTGCATTTGGAATTATTCTGAACTGTCTTTTAAAGTTTGCTTTGCCTTGTTTCGCAGTGATAACATTCAGCAATATCTGATGACCAATAATGTCCCAGAGGCAGCCTCTACTCTGGTGTGTATGGCAGAACTTGACATCAAACTTCAGGAATCATCTTGTACTCATCTTCTTGGTTTCATGAGAGCCACTGTTAAATTCTGGCATAAAATTCTTAAAGACAAGCTCACAAGGTAAAGGATTTATTCATATTTCATGGTAATTGCTGTCAGATGGATATTTGATTATCATTGTATTTTGCTGAAATACATGTGTTACTTTTCTGTTACAGCGATTTTGAGGAAATTTTAGCACAGCTTCATTGGCCATTCATTTCACCTCCTCAGTCTCAAACTGTTGGCTTAAGTCGACCAGCCAGTTCCCCTGAGATACATAGTAACCTGGAGACACTGTTTTGTCAGCTTCTGAAACTACAAACCTCGTATCTTTGTTGTAGTTAAAACTTACTAACATTTATTTTTCTACATTAGATCTGTAGCTTGCGAGTAAAACTTTCTGACAAAGGCCAGGAAGCCAAATGGGAGTGCTGGGTTTGTACTTGGTCTGTGTATGCCCGCGGAGTGGTAGATTGTTCTCTTTCAAAGTGAATTGCATGTGAGCGGGAGGGCGTGGGTCAGCCTGAAATACGTGACTGACCCAAGTGGGACTCACATATAGTCTTTTGGGACAATAGGAAAAATGGGCAACTGGGAAGAAACCTTAGTGTTAATAAAATGATTACTTGAATGTGTTTCTTTACTACTATTCTTTTAGGAGAAACAGATTAATTATAATAACATTTTTCATGTACTTTTTACTGAAATCATGTAATGTAAAGGTAGATTATATATTATGTGCATTAGAATTTTACTCAGTATCTTTCATACATGTTGGAAAAATGTGTATATGTATTCACATACATTCATATATGTGTGTATGTTTTTGATACTTTTTCCTTGACTTGTGTATGTCAGAGATGAATTATTTACTGAGCCAAAACAACTTTCAGAAAAATACTCTCTTCCTGCATCCTCTTCTATCATCCTCCCCATCCAGATTATGCTGACTCCCCTTCAGAAGAGGTTCAGGTATCACTTTAGAGGAAACCGACAGACTAACGTTATAAGCAAGGTGTGCTTTGCCAACTCTTATCCTTTGTTTTTATTAATAGCAGTTGTTAAGGGTTTTATACTTTTCTTGGAAGAAGTTAAAATCTGATTCTGTTCACATTTCTGTTTTTTCTCTAAAGAGGAAAATTCCTGATTTGTCACTGCCCTTTAGAGATATATTTTGGAACTTGTGTTGGTATGTTGTAGGAATCAGCTCACTCATTATCACATCATCTGACCAGTTCCTGAAGTTTCCCTTGGGTTTGCTGTAGCATTTGCTGTGGCACTTTTTACAACTGGGTCCATATGTGTTTCACCATGCAAATTGCTCCTTCAGGTTTATAAATAGAAAGAGAAGTGAAAGTCAAACGATAGAATGTTAGCTTTTGAAAACGGGTGCTGATGCTAAAATAATTTGTAGCTATGTGAGAGGGTGTGGGAATAAATCATGGGAATGGCTTGAGGAAATTATCACTAACATTTTAGTTGAGGGACTATATTCATGTATATTGGGCATATTAGTGAGATTTTTCTTTAATTTGACCTGAAAAACGATCATAGGCATTTGTTTTCAATGAAATTTGATTGAATTTGTTGAGAATTATAACCTTGTTTGTTGCCAGGTGGTGGATACTACCTTCTTTATCCTTGAGTTTTGCTACATCTGATGCAGGGCAAGTAACAGAAAGGTTCAGTAAATGCTTTGGATTAAGCGTTAAATGCCAGATTACACCAGGCATTGTAGGTGTCATATAAAAATGAGTTTATAGGTTTTACAGAATTTTTAAGGAATTAAGAAATAGGCAGTTATGTTTGCATAGGAAAGAGTAGAGTGGCAATGGATTTTTGGTTCTTAAATTCAGCTTATTCTTTTGTACTTTATGGGTCTCATCCTCTTTTGGATGGGGTGTTGGTGGAAAGAAGAGTAGAACCAATTAGTAGTGAGACAAAGCAATAAATTAGAAGCTGCAGAGAGGCATTAATAATTTGAGGTAGGAAAATTGTGAATTATGTTGGCTGCTTTTTAAAGTGTAGTTCAAATGGGCCTAGTACTCTGACATCAGGCCTAAACTATGCAGCTCCTGAGATTAGAGATTGCCCTTATTTTTGTATTCCTGGCATCTAGCACATGACAGGAATTTACTATTCAGTAAATGTTTTTGAATCCCTGTCCAACAAAACTTGGAAGGTTTGTAGAATCATCTCTAGGGACGATTTAAAAAGCTGCATACTTACATTTCCTTTTCTATAATTGTACCTGTTTTAAGGCATGTGTACACTTTTTGTAATGTAGACCAGCCAAATTTAAAAAATTTACCTTTTGAAAAGAAAAAGCAGAAAATCTTTAAAAATTATTTTGGAATGTTATTTCAAAAAAATAAACAATTTAAAGAGCCATTGGCTCTTAGTAATACTCATCATTTTACATATTTGTAAAGTGCTAGGTTTTAAATATATGTGGCATTGTAAATTTATGAGTTTATTGACTTAAGCCACATTATTGGAATTTGTTGGGAGTACATTAGGAAACATTTGATTATTAATTGTTCCGAACTATCGAAGTTCAGAATAACTTGAATTATTCAAGTTCAGAGTAGAAATTGTACTCTTACATATAGGAATTTTTATAAGTGCTGTGTGTATACAGTGACATAGATCTATTTGATTGTAACTTTCTAGTTGGAATGATGAAAGAATTCAAACTATTTTACCTCCTTCCTTAGCCTGAATGGTACTTGGCTCAGGTGCTTTTGTGGATTGGGAACCACACTGAGTTTCTGGATGAGAAGATACAGCCAATATTAGACAAAGTAGGCTCTTCAATAAATGCAAGGGTAAGAGACTCATCCTAAGCATTCCAGATTTAGAGGTTATGTGTCCATGAATAACTTGTCATTTACATTAACTTGCTTATGTATTTCTTTTAGCTTGAATTTTCTCGGGGCCTTATGATGCTTGTTCTGGAGAAGTTAGCTGCTGATATTCCTTGTCTGCTCTATGATGACAATCTCTTCTGTCATTTGGTGGACGAGGTGCTGTTATTTGAAAGGGAGTTACACAGTGTTCACGGCTATCCTGGCACTTTTGCTAATTGTTTGCATATTCTGTCAGAGGAAACCTGTTTTCAGAGATGGTTGACTGTGGAGAGAAAATGTAAGTGCTCAAGTGCCCATAGGATGGGGAGAGATGTCTCTTTTTGTGTATGTTAATTTGTGGTATTTTTCTCCTCCAGTTCTGGTTAGAAATTAGAGCCGTTTAAATATTTCTTCACCAGGGTTTACCAAATTGCTTTCAGAGGTCATCTTGTTTTCTTCTCATCAAACATTAGTTTTTTTCTGGAACTGTACATGTTTCTAGAGTATAATATTTAAGCCAATAGATTATATAGTTTATTGTTTAATAGATTTTACATATAGTATTTCTGCTCTTGGTAGAATCATTTTGTATGTAGTTTGTCTAGTCAGTATACCTATTTCTAAGATTTTGGGGTAGGGTTGGCAGAGAGAAGTAATTGTTTAACCCTAAAATAGAGCGTGTTAAATATAGTGCAACTAGTAGGAGGTAGTAGATTTATTTTTTTTTGTAGAAAAGTTATAATTCCTAAAAAATTGTGAGTTGAAAATTAGGAATGAATAACTACTTCAGATAATCCTTTTTTTTTGGCATATCAGTTGCTCTTCAAAAAATGGACTCAACGCTTTCATCAGAAGCTGCCTGGATATCCCAGTATAAGGATATCACTGATGTGGATGAAATGAAAGTTCCAGACTGTGCGGAAACTTTTATGACACTACTCTTAGTTATAACTGGTAAGTACAAGTCTTTTTGTTTTAAAAGTACTGACTCTTCACATGGTACTTTTTCTAGTTGTTCAACGAAATTATTAGATAATGGTTATCATAAGATCTTCAAATTCAGTTTATTTTGGCAGAACTATAGCACAATATTCTAGGTTTTGGAGTTTTAATAATTTAAGTAAGATCTTAAAATGAGAAAATTCCTGAATTATACAAAAACAAATAAAAATGTAATTTTATTACCTGAACTCACTTGCCATTCAGCTTAAGTGTCTTTAGTAAATGGTGATTGACCTAAATTTTAAATATTTCCTTCACTTTGATATGTCAAAGACTACACAAGAGTAAAATAAAGTTACTTGAAGCATTAGAGTAGTAGTTGGAACTCTTTCTATTGTGCAAGAGTGTTCTGGCTCCAGGGGAGGCCTAGCAGCCTCTAGCCCTGGTTGGTCTGTAGCCATCCACATTGTCCCATTTCAGGCCTGCTGGTTTTCCAGGTGCTACTGAGCCGTCATTGCCACCATCCTCTTCTGTCTTGTCCAGTTCTTGGGCCTGTGTATGTAACCTGAAGAAGTATATATAGCCAGTAAATAATTCCATATTCTTAACTGTAAGAAAAATATAAAAAACACTAAAGCACCAAAAAAATTAGAAAAACTCATGTCTTTTAAAAAACTATTAGGAAAATTTTCAAACATACACAAAAGTAGCATAATATAATGAACCCTCAGGTATCTGTTACTAAGATTTAAAACAACGCTTTTCTATTATGTATTTTTCTCCCCAACCTTTTTTTCTAGAGAATTTTAAAGAACATATCAGACATCTTACCATTTCACCTGAAATTCTTAAATATATATCTCTTTTAACCTATACTAGATCCTCCTTCCTTTAAAAAAAATTGTTAAAGGAATGGAGTGATTTTTGTATATAATTATCATATGCTTTTTAAAAAAACTGAGGTATGGTTTATATACAGTGAAATGCATAGATCTTATAAATACAATTCAGTGAGTTTTGACAGGTACATCTACTTGTGAAACCCATACCCTTAGAATGTTTAGAAATAGATCCATATTTGAATGTTCAATTGATTTTTGACAAAGGCACCAAAGCATATCAATAGGGAAAACCTATAACTATGTCATGGACAGTACCAAAAACCTTCATTTGTCTTAACTTTCTCCACAGACAGGTATAAAAATCTTCCTACAGCTTCCCGAAAGTTGCAGTTCCTGGAGTTACAGAAGGACTTAGTAGATGATTTTAGGATACGACTGACTCAGGTGATGAAAGAAGAGACTAGAGCTTCCCTTGGCTTTCGATACTGTGCAATTCTTAATGCCGTGAACTATATCTCAACAGTACTAGCAGATTGGGCTGACAATGTTGTAAGTTAATGTGCTTTTATATTAAATAATATATTAGTAGTTGGAACAATTCTACCTTTTGAAATGTTGACTCTGTAGCAAGTAAAAATACACATTAGGCAGAATAACAATTAGGCCAAACTTAGGAGGTGTGATTAAAGTACATATTTTTCTCAACCGAGTTTCAAATGGTTAAATAATCTTGGTATTTTAATCATTGAAAAGAAAGCAACATTTCATGAAATAGTTGTTTATAGAATTAACCTTTTTCCTCTTTAGACTTTATACTTAGGAAATACTCATGTATGGTAATTACTATCTCAGAAAAAGATAAGATTGAATAAATGGTGTCAAAATCAGTAAAATCCAGGACTTTACGGAAAAGTAAAATAATAACACTTGATACCTGTTGAATTATTTCATACATTTAAAAAATTTTAATATTTTATTTTTAAACATATACAGGAGTAAATAAAATGAATCTTCATGTGCCTGTCGCCCAGCTTCTTATACCAATTTTGTTTCATTTAAACCTCTCCTGTACTCCCCCCATGCTGAATTATTTTGAAATAAATCTCAGGATATCTCTTGGTAAATAATTCAATATATATCTCTAAAAGATAAGAAGTCCTTTTTGAAAAAATATAACCACAATACCATTATCACATCCAAAAAAATTAACTAATTTCTTATCGTATTGGGAGGTATATTTTAAATAATTCTAAAAATCAAAGTCTTGGGTCTAGTTAACAAGTACTATAATGCCTTTTACCTCCAAGAATTTTACTTATCCTTCCTTTCTCCATGCAGATTCCATGTGTTGACAGATTTGGTCTGCCTAAATAGAATTATTAAATAGTAATTTATTTTTATTCTTTTTATTAATGCAAAGACTATATTGGCTATTAGTGCTTTGGGAACCAGATTTTACAATATATACTTCCAGCTAAAAGTGAAGAAACTTAAAAAAATTTTTTTTATTTTACAGTTAGAATTGACATTCAATCTTATTTTATATTAGTTTAAGGTAAAAGTGAAGAAACTTAATTAGCCTTTATAACCGTAACCTATATAGATTAGTTCCATTAGCTGTTTTAGATATTAAAATGATCTCAGAGGGTCTCTAGGACCTCCTTCTTGGACAGGGTGTTCTTGGGTTAGGAACTGCTGTTCTAAGATCATCTCTGTGGACACAGAAATCACCTTGGGTTTTCACTAGCATGTCCCATGAAGTAGGTTTCATGAAGAAAGCATTAGCAGAGAATTAAGGTGACCATAAAACAGTGAAATATACATTAAATGGTGAAAAAACTATACTGAATATAATGAATATGAAGATATATATGTAAAGTATTATATAATTGTATCATGAAATGAAAATAGACAGGATAATAAAGTGAAAAACAACTAAAACATTTGCATTGTAGGGATCCCAGAAGTATAAGAAAGAGAGAAAGGAACAGAAACTTTATTTAATAAAGAATAATGGCTGAAAACCTTCCTAACCTGGGAAATGAAACAGACACCCAGGTCCAGGAAGCAGAGAGAGTTCCAAACTAGATGAACCCAAAGAGATCCACACCAAGACATATTGTAATTAAAATGGCAAAAGTTTGATAAAGAGACAATCTTGAAGTAAGTAAGAGGAAAAAAACAACGAATTACATACAAGGGAAACCCCATAAGGTTATCAGCTGATTTCTTGGCAGCAACTTTACAGACCAGAAGGGAGTGGCAGGACATCTTTAAAATGCTAAAGAAAAGAACCTACAACTAGAATAATTTACCCAGCAAGGTTATCATTCAGAATTGAAGGAGAGATAAATGGTTCCTAGACAAACAAAAACTAAAGGCATTCCTCACCATTAAAGGGTCTTTTTTAAGCAAGAGAAAGGCCATAACCAGACGTATGAAAATATGAGAAAGGGAAACTCTCAAAGGTAAAGCTGAAAATTTATTCACTTAAAAAGCTATAAGAGACCCATTTCAAATAAAAAGACACAGACCGAAAGTAAAGGGATGGAAAAAGATATTCCACGTAAATAGAAATGAAAAGAAAACCGGGGTAGCAATACTTACGTCAGACAAAATAGACTTTAAAACAAAAAATGTTTTAAAAAGACAAAGGCCAAGAAGAGGATATAACAATTGTAAGTACCTACAAACCCAACGTAGGAGCACCTAAATATGTAAAACAATTGTTAATGGACATAAAGGGAGAAATCCATAGTAATAAAATAATATTAGGGGATTGTAATACCTCACTCACACCAATGGATAGATGATCCAGACAGAAAATTAATAAGGAAATAATGGCCTTAGTTGTCATATTAGATCACATTGACTTACTAGATATTTATTTCATCCAAACGTTTCATCTAAAAATTGCAGAATACACTTTTTTTTTCAACTGCACATGGAACATTTTCCAGGGTAGATCACACATAGGGCCTCGAAACAACCCTCGATAAATTCAAGAAGATTGAAATCATATCAAGTATCGTTTCTGACCACAGTGGCATGAAACTAGAAATCAGATATAGGAAGAAAACTCAAAAACACAAATATGTGGATATTAAATACATGTTACTAAATAACCAATGGATCAAAGAGGAAATCAAACAAAAGAAAATAAAGAGAGGGGGATAAATAAATAAAGGTGTTTACCCTTGGGGGACAAAGAAAGAACAATAGGGGAACATGTTTCAAGTTTTAGTCAAAATATAAAGAGAACTAAAATGATATCTATATGCGGTTTTTCAGCAAGGTGAAAAAAACTAATTTTAATTAAAGATTTAAAAGTCCCACTTTTCAATTAATAGGTAAGGTGGAGATTTAAAATATTACAGTTAAATAAATCAGATTGATTGAATTAGGATTGGTGTTAAGTTCACAGTATGCTAAGGAACACTTAGTATGCTGTGAAACATTTTTGGGTTTGCCCAGATGAGTCACAAAGATGGACAATGTTGATTAAGTTAAACTTTCTGTACATTGTCAAATCTTAATGCAATAAAACAAAAAAGCAGAAATGAAATATAGTCAAACAGACATTTAAAATATTTAATACTTGGGTTAGGGAGGAAGTCTAGAAAACATAAGAATGTTTCATAGATTATGAATTTATGACAAAAAATTGTGGTTTACAGCTAATGCTTTACATAATTTGTATACAGAAAAAATTATGATGTACTACTAAAGCATTATATACATGAAAATGTATTCCTTTACCGGGAAAGGAAAAAGATCTCTTAAATACAGAGTAATAAGCCAAATAAATAGGAAACAAAAATGAATATACTAATAACAGGTATAAACAAAATAAAAATCTGATAAACAACCATAATTCTAATCTGGACTCTGGTTGTGAAAATAATAATAATAATTATTATTATTTTTAAATAATTATTTAACCTTTTTTTC